ATCTTCTACCTCTGCTTCTTGGTACACATGTGGTCTCTTTGGTATTCAGTTTCTTAGCTGGCCAATGAAGAATGACAGTATTTCATAAGGTTACAATAGAATACTTTAGTATATGCAAAACACATAGCAAGATGCTTGGCATACAGTACACTCATTAGCTTTCCATCACTGTGGAAAATGATCTGGCAAACAACTAGAGGCAAGATTTCTTTGGGCTTATAGTTTCAGTACATCATGGCAGGGAGGGCATGATAAGCATAGCAGCCCATACCATGGAGACAAAGAAGCAGAGAAAAGGAGTATCTGTGCTTACAGGCGTTCTCCTCGTCCCTCTTTTATTGTATTTGAGCCTCCAACCTATGAGATAGTGCTCCCCACATTCAGGACAGATCTTTTCCAACTTAGTTAATCCTATCTGAAAATACAGACACAGAAGACAAGTGCCTTACCGGTCTGGTAGGTGCTTCTCAATATAATCAGTATTAACCACTACACAAATAAGTATAAAGTATTGTGTGTATGTATGAAAATGTCATAATGATCCCCACTACTTTCTATGCTACTTTTAAAATTAACAAGAGGGCCTGGGGATACCGCTGAATTGGTAGACTGCTTGCTACCCAAGCACTACGTCAACTGGGTGTAGTGATCCACACTTGTAATCTCAGCATGGGAGAAGTGGAGACAGAAGGCTGATAGAGAAGGTCAAGGTAATTCTTGGCTACATCGTAAATGTGAGATCAGCTTGGGATAAATGAGACACTGTCTCAAAATAAAAACAAAGGAAAGAAAAGAAAGATTAGCTATAGCAGGATGAGTGCAACAAATGTTAGCAATCAGTGAGCATTTTAGGGATAACTAACATTTACAAAGGTTCTGTAACTTTAGCAAAGTTATATGGCCAGTAAGTAGAGAGCTGTAAAGTTTGACCTTAGTCACTCCCCTCTACTGGCTCTCCACTCTGTTGTGTCCCTCTGCAGGCTAATACTAGAGTACTTTGAAGCACAAAAGAAGGACAGCTAAGCCTACCTTGTAGGAAAGTAGTTAAAGCAGTCATTCAAAGGCGATGAGGCTTTATCCAAGCCCAGAAAGTCAAACAAAAGTTGGACCAAGTGGAACACAGGAAAAGCACATTCTTTCCAGAGAGAGAGAAGCTTATCAGGGGCATGGGAGAGTGAGAAAGAGTAGGTCCCACAAACTGAAGAATGGATAAGGATGACGACAACGGGCCTCAACCGTCCTTTCCTCTATTAGGACTAGCAAAATCCAGTTTAATTGTGAAACATGAGAGGGTGTCATTTCTTTCTCCCAAGCAGCCATTCTATTCCAGTTCACCTTCTAGTTTTTCTTCTCGGGTCTGAATTAGGTCCAGACCGGTAAATTTTCTCCATACTCCTTCCCTTTGGAAGATTATTTGCTTCTCAGGAGGTTAAGATTTGCTCCCTATGTCCAGAGAACTGCAGCCCCCATCCCTGTTTGCCTGTGCCCCTCTTAGCTGTGTGATCTAATTGTGGATGGCTCCCCACATGTTAGTTTTCTGCCTCAAGCACCTGGTGTGGGTTTGCCTTCCATTCCTTCACTATCAGGTGTGTAGACGCTACAGTCAAGTCTCCTAGAGACTCTGTATCCTCAGCCTGTGCCCCTTCTTGAGCTAGCTCCTTCCATACGTTTGTTTGTACGTTTGTTTGCTGCTAAATAAAAATGAGCTGACTGGCCTCTCCAAAAGAATCTCTTTAAAATTGAAAGGCTGTCCTACTGGTATTAGAACTCTAAAACTTGGTTAATGAGTTTACCCATTCCTGGGATGATTTTATTATGGAATAATAAAACAATTTGTGTGCCGTGTTGAGGGAGTTCTTGATCTCCACCATTGAGGAATAACATTCCTCACTATCCTCCTTTTCCTCCTCTTGTACAACTTCATGCATAAGGTTGATTTTAAATTCCCAGTTGTACACTTTTAGGGAATCTTTGTATGAGCCAATGGAACAAGTGGCAGTGAATTCTGTATCAACATTAACCACTGATGTTTTATTTGTTGCAGATATGGAAGTGGGTGAAGGAATTTAACATAGTCCATGCAGGAGATGCAAATAACTCAGACCCTATCAACATACTTGCCTTGTTCATGGCATTGTTATCTGCTCTTCAATGTTTTCTGTATTTGAGTATATTCAGTCTCTAATAAGCTTTGGCGCTTCAGGATGTCATTTCTATTTACCACAGCTCTTTCCCTTTTCTTTTCCGAGCCCTAGTTGCCTTAACTTATAGCATCCAACTGCTGAGCTAGATTTTTGCTCCCTTACTGGTGTCCTGATGGTCCTGGCTTCAAATGTGTAAAAAACACTTGAGCTGTGCCCTCTTAGCAGAACTAGATTGCTGCCCCTCCCATCTTCCCTATTATTTAGCCTTCTGCTGGGCTGTGTGATGCATCGTATTGCTTAGCTCTGACTTCCAGTCTCCTGGGATTTCAGAAGACGTGATAAGAATGAGGCTCAGTTGGTAGAGTGTGTGCCTCCTAAGGACAAAGCCCTCTCTTCTCTCCCCAGCATTGTGTAAGTCAGTACAGTGGCACAGACCTGGAATCCCAGTGCTTGCCATACTTTGTGCTTCTCATGTCCTGGCCCCTGAACGTTAGACTCCCATCTTACTGTTGAGTCTCAAATGTCCCATCCTTTAGTATTTACTTGCATCAAACAAAATGTAAGCTTTGAAATGGGGATAAAAGTAAGCTTCTAGAAGTCTAGTACTAGAACAGAGTGGCACCTATCAAAGGTCAGGAAAGGAGGAGGGACACATGGGAAAGCTTGGCCAATGAGAACAGTGTTGCACTAGGATAGGAGCAAAAAGCCCTGGAGTTCTTGTCCTCAGTAGGGTGACTCTAGGTAAAGACAATATATATTCCAAACTGGCTAGAAGAGCAGACTTTAATGTTTCACCACAAAGAAATGGCAGATCCTAGAGGCAGTAAAGATGGTGATTAACCTGATTTGGTCATCACACAGAATCTACCTGGACCAAAACTTTACCCCACAAATTTATGTAATTATTATATGCATATTACAAATGAACTAAAGCAATCCGAAGAGATAAGCCCTTTTTTTCAAAGAAATCAAATTCTTAGGCTAGGGGTATAGTTCAGTGTTAAAGCACTCACATAACATGTACAAGTTCCATCTTCAGCACTGCAAAAAAGATGTGTGGGGCTAACTTCTCTTTTTCCAATTTGAGACAATCTCATGTAGACCAGGCTGGCCTCCAAATATCTATGTAGTCAAGGATAACATTGAACTCCTGATACTCCTGATTCCACCTTGCAAATGAAGAACAATACATTTTGAGCAAACTGAAAAATTATGTTCATTCTTAGAGTAGTGTTTCTTATGATCTACAATTCTTTGTGCTTGGGAAATGACTTATGTGCCACCCATGAGCTAACTGCACCATATTGCTGTAGGCAGATTTCTGAATGCAAGATAGATGAAACCCCAGGTGCCAAAAGTATATCATTACGAAGTTCCATGTTTGGATATGGAAACTAAAACAGGAAGCAATAATTTGCAAAGCCATCTAATAGAGACTGATGTAATGGCTTGGCGAGGTCACAAAGACCTGCCCTTGAATTCTGGCTCAGCACTTACTAGCTGAGTGTCCTTGAGCCAATCAATCTCTGAATGCAACATCATCAATAATAATAAACTTTTTCTTTAATTTATTGGTTTCTTATTCATTAAAAAGTCAATATTTCCTCCACAGATTTTGAATCCTCTAGTTATCATATAAAAATCTTCTCTTGAATTTGTCCCCAAGGTCCCCATCACCTGTTTTTCCCATTTATTTGCAGTGCCACATCACTTTATACATTAGTAACTCATATTCTAACATGAAAGCCACTGCTTTTTACAGTAAAGTTTTATGAGTCGTGAGAACAATTATTCACAAAAATGGAAAACATGCCAGGGTGTGGTGGCGCACACTTTTGATCCCAGCAATGAGGAGGCAGAGGCAGGCAAAACTCTGAGTTTGAGGCCAGTCTGTACAGTAAGTTCCAGGTGAGCCAGGAGGTGTTGTCAAGATTTTTAAAAAGAACGTGTAAAATATGCTTATAGAGAGAGTTCTTATTAATACTTAATGTATATATCATTAAAAATTATAACTTATTTTGAGATTCTTCAATCTCTTCCACTGAGCTTAGTACCATCTGAGCCCTGTGAGAATCACAAAGTAGCAATTTTGGTCTGGACTACAACTCAGTGGTAGAGATCATATTTAGCATATATGGGGCCCTAAATTCCATGCCCAGGATCAAAAGAAAGGTAGAGAAGGAAGACAACTTGCAAAAAAAAAAAAAAAAGAAAGAAAGCAAGTGTCAGTTGAGATTTCAACATAGTGCAGTATAGCCCAAGGTCTATATTACTTTTTAAAAAGATTTTTTATCGTGTTAATTACATGTAAGAGTGTGTGTGTCTTTATGGCGGTGTGGGCATATGAGTGCAAGTGCCTAAGGAGGCCAGAGGAGACAGATTCCCTGGAGTTGGAGTTACAGACAATTGTGGTGTGGTCCTAGGAACTGATTTGGGTCCTCTGGAAAAGCAGCAAGTGCTCTTAACCACTGAACTATCTCTCCAGCCCTCCTCCCTCCAACTTGCAAAGCTCCATATTCTTAAGCTCTGAATTTGCTGACCCCAAATAATTAGGAAAGTAGTAGATAACATGGTCTGAAGGTGGGGAAGATGGTTTAATAGAGGAAGTGGCCTATGAAATAGGCTCTGAGCATTTTTAGGTTACCAGCACACTGAGAGGGGAGAGATAATATCCAAGGAAGAAGAAGCAACGTGTCCAAATGAAATGTCCTGGCTATGCTGTTGTGTTAAGAGACTAAAATGCACAAGCATGCCAGTCTACCTGTCCCAAACCTGACTGCCCTCTTATCGACTACCTCCTGTTTGCTCTCTTACACTCCTATTCAGAGAACTAACGTGCTCCTGCGTCTCTTTTAGGCTCTTTGAAACCCTTCAGTCACTCTTCTGGTCTGTATTTGGCCTTTTAAATCTCTACGTCACTAATGTGAAGGCCAGACACGAGTTCACCGAGTTTGTGGGAGCTACTATGTTTGGGACATACAACGTGATCTCCCTGGTAGTGCTGCTGAACATGCTCATTGCCATGATGAACAACTCCTACCAGCTTATTGCCGTGAGTAACTGCTTTACCATGGGGCTTCCCTGGGTTTCTGGAGAAGTCACGGTGATGTGCAGCCCATTGCAAGTTCAACGAAACAGTCTGATTGCCTCAATGAATATACATTAGTCAGTTATTCAACTGACTTATTTCCAGAACAATTCTGATTGCAGTCTTAGTCTACAGAAAGCCGGTAATCTAGATTTGGTTACTGGATTTCATAACTTTCTTGCTATCTGTTGAAAATGTTTTAAAATATTTGAGCCAATATTTTTGCCTCGGTATGGAAACCTCAGGGGATATATGCACAGTTGTCTACTCAATTTGGCACCTCACTTACATTCTGGATAAATCCAGTCGATCTGTTTCTCTAGGGATAACACTGCAAACATCTTCCACCCTAAATTTGAAATTCCATTGAAAAAATGAGCTTTTGAGAAGGAGAGGGGCTCTTTTGTTTTTTTGTACAATGTCTCATAGTATCCAAAGTTGGCCTTAAATTCACTGTGTAGCTGAGAAATGACCCTGAACTTCTGATCTTCTTGTCTTCATATCTCAGGTCCTGGAATTACAGAAGTGCACTATAATGCTCAGTTTATATGAGAAGCTATTTTTTTGCTAAAGTAGAGATGAGTAACTGTACTCTACCACCAGATCTTCTTAGACTGAGCTCATTATTATTTTGTTTTGTTTTTAGCTCATTGTTTTTAAGACAAGTCTCATTGTATAGACCAGGCTGGCCTCAAATTCTTAATCCTCTTGTCTCAGCCTCCAGAGTACTGGAGTTGTAGGCATACACCATGACACCTTGAACCTTGCATTGCTGATTTTTTTTGTCCATCATATTACCATTTCAATCATCAGTGCTTGTTACACTAGACTAGAAATGATGAAGGTAGAGAATACAGGATTAGTTGTGGCCTGCCTCTCTCTCTCTCTCTCTCTCTCTCTCTCTCCTTTATCTTCCTCTCTCCTATCTCTCTGTCACTCTATCTCTCTATCTCAATCTCTCTCTCTCTGCCAAAGTAAATATCCAGTTTTGACTTATATTCTCATATCCTGATTATCACTTCTAGGAAGAGTATTAGCAACAGAGTCTGGCTAACTGAGAACTACGTAAGTTGAGTATCTCTGGATTTGGACATTTAGTTGCTAGATTGCCTCTATGTATGAACCAGTCTGTTGCTATCACGCACAAGGCAAACAAAGATAAAACCTAAGTCTTTTCTGTCTCCTATATGCTATTTCTCTGGTATGGTTTGTCATGAGGAGTCATTTAGCCTATCTGAGCTTAAATTATTGGCTACATATGCATATATATGTGATATATGTGCTCACACACAGACTGTCCACATTTCTCAAATATTGTAGGTAATAATGAACATATTCATTTCCACTAGGGAGAGAACCAAACAGTAATGAGTATATGTTCTAGGAAGAGATCTTTGAATTATTTATTCTATAGTACTTTCTAACCATAAATGGAACATATTTGCACAAGGGGTGCTATAGCTTAGATCTAAAATGTACCCACCAAGGCCCATGTGTTAGAAGTTTCGTCTCCAGCCCATGGTGCTACTGGGAAGTAATGAAACCTTTAGTAGGTGGGGCCTAATGGGAAGTTAGGTCATGGCGAGTATACGCTTGAAAAAGATTATAGGATCCTATCCCCCTTTCTCTTCCTCTTTGCTCCTTCACTCCCGTGCTTGCCTGCCATGCTGTGCTGGCCTTCCACAGGCTGAGAGCAACACTCAAGCGACCATTGACTGAAGCCATGAACCAAAATGAATCTTTCTCCTCATAATTTGATTTTCCTCCTGTACTTTCTCACAGTGACACAAAGGTGAATTTGTAGAATTTCTGTCATTAGGGATTTTGTTAAGATGTAAAATTGTCTGCTAGAGTGCTTTAGGTCATAGATGCTTAAGAGACTGACTATAAAGGGAATGGAAGTATAGTAGAAAAATTTAAAAACCAAGGACTCTAATCCCGGGACTGGCTTTTATCATGGAGTCAGCTTGGGTAACTTATTTCCCCTTCTTGGGCCTCTGTTTCTTCATCCCAAAAGTGATGTGGTGACTAATATAGATCGCGTGCCTACAGATCAGGATAGCACAGCAAGGTCCTTCCTAGCTCTGAAATTCTATTCCATTGTTGTGTTGAAATACAATAATACAATATAGTTCAGCTTCATTTCTTGCCTCTCATTCTCTCTCTCTCTCTCTCTCTCTCTCTCTCTCTCTCTCTCTCTCTCTCTCTCTCTCTCTCTCCTCTTCTCCCTTCTTCCCTTTCTCTCCTCCAACCCCACCTTCATTCAAACCCAACTAGACAAAGAACTTTGAGATGATTTATGCTCACACCTAGTCTGTTCTCTACAAGGGGTAAAACACACATGGAATCTAAAAGGTTTCTTTTTCTGCCTGCTAAGGCAGTTGTAGTTTTTTCACTAAGTATCTAGCAGTTGACTATTCCTAGCAACAGAAAAAAAAGGTAAAATTTTCTTGTCATCTAATATAGGGTTTCAGTGTGCCCCACTGAGCTGGGCGACATTTTCTAGCAAGAAGGAGAATCATTAGCTCTTTTTGACACCACCTGCTGGTAGCAGGTTTAGTTTTAATACTACCTACTTCTGCACCTGAAGAAAATACCTTGATTCCTGTCACTAAGGGTCTGAGTAGATGGCCTGAATGGGGCCTACACCATCTCACATGTCTGGAGTCAGAGCAAACCAGTCTGAATTCTCCTGCTGTTCTGGAATTTCCTGGTTATATATCTACACCCTTTGGAAATGGATCCAGTTGGATGTTATTAATGGGCAAACTGATTGTACAAATACCTGAGTTTTTGTAAGTGATAAAGAATAGAAAGTAGATTTCATTCCATTTGTAATATTTCTACTTCAACCAGGTGATGGTGGCACGCATATTTCACCTCAGCATTCAGGAAGCAGAGGCAAGAGGAACTCTAAGTCCGAGGCCAGCCTGGTTTAGAGCGACTGTTCCAGGACAGTCAGGGATACATAGAAACCATGTCTGACAAAAAGAAAAATCTCTACTTCAGAAGTGTCCCTTTAGAAGGCCTCTGCTAGACAGGGAAAGGCTTCAGAAAGAGGAATCACTGGAGACACATTTCTCCTTCAAAAGGTGTCACAGGATGCCTCAGCCTTGGTAGGAATTTGGTTGTCAGCAAATATCAGTGGGAAATTATTCAATGTTTATTCTAGTTCAAAGGTTAAGAGCAGCACCAAGAGCTATCCCAGGAAAAGTTGAGCTCTTTATCAGTGCTTCAAGAAGGATTAAGCGATGCTGACAAGATGGTCTGCTTTCATAGACAGTTGAATCTCAACAAGAAAGAAATGCACAAATGAGAAAACATACATAAAGTTATCATAAAATGCCAGCGTTCAGGGTCAGTTTTTGCCATGAGGTCCATGCATTTCTTCCCTTAATATTGTGTTCCCAGTTCTAAAAGAAATGTGATTTGAGCTGTTAGCAACCTATGACAGTTTAAATGTATAGGTCCTGTCTCTTCCTGAGACCAAGTAAACAATGAGAGGTTCCATGAGAGCAATGTGTGTGTCTGAGGAAGAGTCAGAAGGAACACCAACAAGAAAAAGAGATTAAAGGCACAGAAAATGTCGCCATCATTATGGTTTTGCAAAGGCTCAGATCTGGGCAACAGTTCCCAAGTCAAAGATACCAGCAGCCTCCATATAAAATAACAACTACCAGTGGACATTCTAGAGGTTTTTTTTAAAATGGCTATATTTGTGTTTTTAAAGGTTTCTGGGCTGAGATTCAGAAAGAATTGCCCCTTGTTGAAAACTAGGCCTTGCTGAAGATTGGTCTCAGGATGTTCTCTTTATAGATAGAAACTGTATTTCTGGATAATTCAAGTGCCCATGGCCCAGAAGTCATATAAAGAAATGTGATTATTTTGGTTTCTGCCTTATTCTTTCAGTCATTGTTCACAGTAGTCTAGTCATTGGGCCAGTCTGGAATTTAATTAGGACAGTGTAAACGCTAAAATCCACACCTAGATCCACCACACTGTCACCTTGTCCCTTCCTTGAGATGCATGTGCTCTACAAGAAGCATCATGTTGGGGCTGAAGAAATGGCTGAGTGGTGAAGAGCACTGGCTGCTCTCGCAGAGGAGTCCAGTTGAGTTCCCAGCACCTACAGAGTGACTGACATCTGCCTGTAATTCCAGTTTCAGAAGATCCAATGCCCTCTCCTGACTACTATAAGCACCAGGCACACATGTGGTGCACATACATATATGTAGGCAAAGCATTCATACACATAAATAAATCCGAAATGTAAAAAAATAGAACTATAGCACAATATCATTTTTTACCTAATTGTATCACAGCTCCAAACTATCCAATCTCCTCAGCCTAACCAGTTACAGTAGTGAAAAGCTTTTGTTGTCATCTTCAGGGGATGGAAGACCTACTATTTGGCCTGACTTCTTCCAGGATAAAAATCCTGTATCTGGCTCAGCTTCCAAAGAGTTGTTTCTTAAGAAAGCAGAAGACACTATACTCCCCACCAGCCTTCAGTCCCACCAACAGTCCCAACTCTGAGAGCTGGACTGAATCTAAGCAGCTACGGTGTAGCCCTTCTCCAGGTGAAGGACTTGTTCATTTCAAAATGCATTAGGAAGTGCATGAGGTTGTGGCAGAGCCACTTCAGATAGCACTAGCTGGCTCTTCCCTTTGGGAGGCCCTCAAGCAGTCTAAAGACTGACTTTTTCTCACCTTGGTTTCTGCTTTCCTATGACGCCAAACCACCCTGAGGGACCTGATCAGAGACTGCCACATTTCGTGAAGGAGAAAACAAATATGCCCATCTATCAAATACATAGGAAATGTTCTCTCCCTTGGGTAATGTGGAATGTGTAAATACCTGTTAGTAATCCATTTCCATTAGAAATTTATTTTTTCTGGTTGGTTCTGGAGATGGTACATAAAATACAGTCCATGCCATCGGAGAGCTTGAACTAGAGTTCAGA